CTTTCCATCTTTCTCTCATTTTCTGTTTCCATGTCTTGTCTGGTTGTCTACCTGAATGTCCTTTCTCCACCCCATGTTTACGGATCTAAAACCTGCCCTCCTTCGTCACAGAAAGGATTGCCAGGAGATCCTCTCACCCTGCTCTGTTCCCTTGGGGGCAGCTGCTGATTTCTAGAAGAGCTTTTCTCATTACCATCTGCACTCATGCCCTGGCGCCTCAGCACTCTCAGGACTTTAAATATCCTCGCTAGGTTGATGCTCTGACATTTAATTCTCTATCCTGAACTTTCTGGAACTCCAGACTCACGTGTCCAACTGCCTACTCACCATCTCTACTCAGATATCTAATAGGCATCTCACACGCAGCACCCAAGCTCGAGCTTCTGATATTCCCCTGGAAACTGCTCCTCCTCCCCTACTTTTCCCATCTCAGTGAAACGGCACCTCCAGCCTCAATCCTTCCAGCTGTTGATGCCCAAAAGGTTGGTGTCATCCTTGACTTCTCTCTCTCTCTCCCACCCGACATCCAATCACACTATATCCTATTGGTTCTACTCTCAAATTACATCATCACATCTACTGCTACCACCTGGGACTATGACAGCCTCTTCCCGCCCATGGATTACTGCAGTAACCTCCCCGGTGGGCTCCCACCTGCCACCCTGCTCAAGCCTCAGGCTGCCCGCAGCCCAGCCACCAGAGTGCTCCCGACAATCTGTCAGTGGGGTCACACCCTCCTCTGCTCAGAGCCCTCCAGTGGCTCCCAACGGTGCCAGATCCTATTATAACCAAGGTCCTGCATGATCTTGGCACCTAGCACCATCTAACACTCTATATAACGTACTTACTCATGTTATTTTTGCCTGTTTCCCTCGGCTATAGCAGAATCCCCTTGAGGACAAGGATTTTCAATGTTTTGTTCACTGCTGAACTCGCCTGCCTACGACAGGAGCTGGGACGTAGTAGTTGTTGAAGAAATGGAAGAGTAACTTTGTACACTCACCACCACCCCCGTTCACACACACCTTCAGAGTGAGGTGTGTATTTGTAGTAGTCAGTGTTCTAGAGAAACAGAACCAATCGGATATATATATGTATATAGATATAGGAAGAGATTTATTATAAGGAATTGGCTCATGCAACTATGGAGACTAAGTGCCACGCTCTGCCATCTGCAAAGTGGAGACTCAGGAAAGCTGGGAAAGGAATTCAGTCCAAGTCCAAATGCCTGAGAATCAGGAGTGCTGAGGGCAGAAGATTGTGATGTCCCAGCTCAATCAATCAGAGAGAAAAAGCCAAATTCTTTGTTCCTCCACCTTTTGTTCTATTCAGGCCCTCAGTGGATTGCGGAGGGCAAACCACATTACTGAGTCCACTGATTCAAATGCTACTTTCATTCAGAAACACCGTCACCAACACACGCAGAAACAATGTTCAGCTAAATATCTGGGCATCTCCTGATCCAGTCAAGTTGACACATAAATTAACCATCAGAGTGTTTATTCACTTTGACTCCACTGTGCCTTGGATGTAGGGAGCATCCATAGTTTTGTTTCTTGACTCTTCGCTCATTTAACAAACACTCTACCAGGGTGTTGGCTGTTGCAATTTTTAGGCAGGCTCTACCTCATTCTCCTGATATACAAGAAGGTATCCCCATCACACACTCGGGGAAGCCAATATCGAAAGCTCCCGGTGCCTCACTTCAGGTCGGTCAGCAAGCATTTCCTGCATCCCTATTGTGTGCCCACCACGGGGCCAAGGACATATTGGCTTGTTCAGAGTCGACACATGCTTTCATGCCCTTCAATTTCACTGCAGTCAAGGGTGTGCTTACATGGCTGGGTGCTTTTAAGCATGTGGGAGGATCTACAAAGGAGATGGTGGCAGCAACAAAGCAGCATCATGTTGTGGAGAAGCACATAACTGGAAGCCAGGACTGGCTTCTGGTCCCAGCTCTTAGCTGTTTAACCTTGACCTTGATGTTGGTCAGGTGGCTTCACCTGTCCAGCCCTCAGGTTCTGCATCTGTAAATGGACTTGGAGGAGCTGACCTCCCTTTCCCATCTCAAAGACTACAACACAGTGCCTGAGAGGTGGCGCTGTAGTAAGGGTGTTCAGTGGTGGGATCGCGCTCAGAGACGGCCAGGGCATCCAGAAACACCCCAGTCCTGCTCTGCTCAGCTCCTCGTGACTCTCAGGCGTGCCCAGAGGACAACGCATGGTATCAGTGTTATAGTGCGTTAGCAGGAAAGGTTGTGCAGTAAAACTTTGCTTCCTTGCAGTGGAATTTCAAATGTAAAAACTTTTCTTTTAAAAAAAGCTTTTCTTTTTCAAGTAAAATCTTATGAAATAAAAGTCAAGTGTTCTGATTTAAAGCAGGTTTAAGGGAAGAGGACCAGGCCTGCTCATTCTGCGACCACCCTTTCCAGTTCCCACATATTCATTATCGACTGCTGTGTCACAAATTACCCACAGCTTAGTGCGTGTTTAGCCCAATCCTAGATCTCATATCAAGGACGGAATCACGGTGGGTGACGTCAGGAAAGGCCTTCTGCTGTACTCTCTTCACTAGAGTCTGGTCTCCTAGCTCCGTGGATGAAACCTTGACAGACATGCTCCTGCTCCCCAGCAATCTGCTAATACTCCAAGCTGCCCCTCCCGCCCTTTTAAAGCTGTTTGACTGAACTACTGAGTAGATGCAAATGAACATTTGTAAAAAATATATAAATATGATACTACAAATGCACAAGTCCACCACTCAGGTTAAAATAGAAACCTTTAGGTCCTGGGGGCCCCTTTCTGACTCCATCCTCCGTTCTATCCTCTCACGTGTAACAACCAGCTTCAATTCCATAGTCTTCATTTTGAATTTTCATTCTGTTTTCCCTTATGGTTCTATCCCAAGTATATCTCTAAACACATACATATATTGCTTAGTTTTGCATGTTTATGTATGTAATCACACTGTACCTATTCCTTTGAGACTTTTTCACTCAACACTGTTTCTTAGATCAATTCAGCATGTTATATATATTTTGCTGCTATAGTCTTCTGTTACATGGATACACCACAATTCATGTGCCCATTCTTGTCCTGATGGATACTTGGGTCATCTCCAGGTTTTGTCTTTTGCATTACTACCAGAGCCATGGACAGTCCTGTACATGTCTTTTGGGGCACAGATGTACATCTGTGCTGGGTATATATCTAGGCATGGAATAGCTAGGTCATAGCACATGTTTAACTTCACTGGGTGATGTCAAACTGTTTTCCAAAGTGATCGTACCAATTTACACTCCTGGCTGCAATAAGGAAGCGCTCCATTTGCTCCACATCTTCACCAACATTTGATACAGTCAGGCTCTTAATATTTGCAATATAGTGGGTATGAAATAGTACCTCATAGCAGTTTAATTTTCATTTCTCATTGATGAGGTTCACCATTTTTATGTTTATGCGCTTTCCACTTTCATCAACATTTGAATCAAGGGTTCCTGACATAAAAGGAAGAGATGAACAGGCTTCCTAAGTGGCCATCTCCAATAGGTCCTGATCCAAGTGGTGAGGCTCTACCTGCCAACCCTACGACATGAATCCTTAAATGCCTCTGTATGCAGTTGTCGGCCTTGTGATAGAAGCTGTGGGGCAGACCCAGGTGAAGAACTGGAGACAGACACATATACCAGTCTCCATGCAGAGTAGCTCAAAGTGCTCTAGAGAACATACACAGACTACCACGGAGTATAGGTAGAGAGAATCCTGGCTAGAGGCAATCTAGAGCAGGGAGGTTAGGAATAGCGTGTATTTGGGGCTGAGAGCAGGTGTGGCCAGAAAGAGTAAATGAAAGCAGAGGTCAGAGGTGCAGGTGACAGGCCCAGTGGCTAGCAGGAGACTATGGGTCTATTTATAGGCCTTTGGAAGACCCCGAGGGCTTGGGGCAAGGGAAGTTTGACCAATAAATCCTGGCTATAGTGTGGAAATGAATTCGCAGTGGGAAGACCAGTTAGGAACAGTGCTAAAACATCTCAGATAGGTATTTATTAATTGTTCCAACAACAGTGCTGGATGGCATGTGAAAAATGATGAGTCCCAGGAATGGACTCAACAGCCCTGAAAGCTCCCATTTGCCAGTGCCAAATGGGAGACAGTATGGCAAGGCAGCTAGGGACCTGGGCCTTTAAAGTCACAGACCTAAGCTCTGGGTTCAAAAACTTGCTCCATCTCTAACTAGCTGTGCAGCCCTGAGCGAGGATGCCTACTGCAGCCTGTTTCTCCATCTACGGGCACAGAAGCAGTTCCTGATAGGGCTGTCATAAGAATGAAGGCAGTCAGTGTGTGACGAGCCAGTGGCTGGAACATGCTGTGGTAAACCCCCATGTGGCTATTACTGTTAGCACTCTGCAATTACTCAGGATGGAATGGAAAGGTACTTTGGAAAGGTTTTTGGTAAGGATTAACAAAAAATAGGAGTTTCTGCTTAACAACTGATGCCTAAGGAAATTAAGTGCATGTGAGTGAACAATATGAGCATGACAATCAACGTTAACGTAAATGCTTATTGAACACCTACTGTGTGGCCTGATACGGCCAGGGGCTGGGAATGGCGATGACCAGTCTGTCCATACCCAAAGACCACTCGGTCCAGAGAGGATGGAAGGATTGCACACCTCACAGCGCTGCATGGGGAAATAACAGATACATGCAGCCACGGATGTACAAAGTGCCAGGACACAGAGTGAGCCTGAGTGGAGTGGGGTGTTTTGTCACTTTAAAGACCAAGACTGACAAGTCAAATCAGGAGAAGCTGAAAAATGGAATTTAAAAAGCCAACACCACTAAAACGTAAACCTCAGCAGATCCTGAGCAGGCCAGAGAGCACAGCATCACTCGAGCTCACTCAGCAGCTAGTTCTCATAATTATCAACACGGAACCTGAAGTCTGTGCGGCACTCACACAAAGAATCCCAAGAACATCATTCAGTAAGAAGGCACACACGGTGGATGTTAATACCTTTTAATGTTTCACGTTGGTTTTTTTTTTCAGAGGATTATAACAAAAAACATAAAATTTAGTATAAGTTTCAATGCACTGGGCAATTACAGAATCTAAACAAGACAAGTCTATGAAGTAAAATCCTTCTTGTGGGGGCAGAACATTCCATTCCACGAAGAGAGAATCACAACATGATTAGGCACGATCATCTCATACTGCCTATTGTTCTAATTTCAGAGATTGGCAGACTTGGAGAAAAAACAAATTAAAAAAATAAATAAAACTGAACACAGTCAATTGCCTCAACTCTCCTCTCCTTTCTCCTTTTCCCATTTTCTTCACATAACCAGATGGGAGGAGGCCGTGAGGCAGAGCCCTGTGGCTCAGGGTTAGGAGCTCTGCTGACTAAATGCCAGGCAGATGTGTGAGTTCCCTGAGGAGACCAAGAAATGTACTCTGAATCCACCACGCGGTATTGTAGCTGAGAGATACAGCGGAGGGCGGGGAGGGTAAAGCAGCCAGAGAGCTAACTGCTGGTGGGAGGCCCCACGTCCACAGCACGTGTTTCAAATCCAGCTTCTATAGTGAGAAGACTGCCTAACTATAATCCTTAGTCAGTATATTTATAGAGAAATACATAACTGTGGAGTTAATACCTCTTTGTAATAATACAAGCTGGAATGCTAACGGAGTGTAAACACTTCTGCCAAAATTCCACCAGGTACAGTCATTCATTCAACAGAAAAAGTCAAAACCATTTGGTTTTTAAAAGAAAATCCTTCACATCCACCTGTGTTCAAAAATAATAACTTATGATATTAACAGCTTCCTTAAAAAAATTACTACAAAAGAATTATTAAATCATAAGTGTGGAAAGACCTATTTTCCTATGAATGTAGATCTTAGGAAGCGATAGATACCTAATACACACAAAAAATAAAGCCGTGCTATCTTGTGTTTTTAGCTTAAAGCTAAAGCTATCAAAAAAAAAAAAAAGTTTTAAACAAGTGTTTTCCATTACAAAAGATCTCAGCTTACTTAGACCAGCACACAGTGAACTAGATAAAGACATTTACTATTTTTTCCCATATAAGGTGTACATCTGCCTCCATGACGAATAATGGTGGAAACCGTCCTATACTGCCAGGTTCCCTGCACTGGCGTATTACTTCAAACAGGCTGGCCAAGTGGCCATTTCCTTTCCTAAACAGAACTAAAAATCATCAGTGATGTAGCACGTGGGGGCAAATTTGGCTAGAGTCACTCATAAATTTACTTGTTTTGGACACAGAACTCACTAGGTGAAACAGTGCTGAACAGCAGGTCAGTCAAGTAGAACAGCACATTTGAGTCCTAGGACAGTTCTCCTTCGGGGACAAGTGTGTGCGGCCTCCAAGTGAGCCAAATCATGCCTTCCGAGCAACTAGGCACCTTATTTGCATACTCTAACCATGACTTGCTTCTGGACAAAAATTGACTGCTAACATTTTTCATCACTAGTATCATTAACACCTTAGAGAAATAAGAAAAAAATACTCAACTTTAGAAAGCTTGACAATGAGAAGAAGACGACCCACAAAGGAAGGGTCATGCTAAAACTGCTTCGACAGTTGTTCCATCACTGCCCACCGCATGGGCTTTGAGGCCAGTGACGTCATGGACGCATCCCTTCGATGCACCGCCGAGTACCAGTTTAGAGTCAGTCCTGGTGACCCCAGTGTGATGCTGCCTGCCTTGCATTCACCACCTCCTACCCATGAGATCCAAGGGGGCCTTGGGTGGGGTAAGCACAGCACACGCAGGTGCCAAAGCCCAAGAAGCTTCCTGAAAACTTCGCCTTGGATTTGGGCAAGGAAACGCATCAGTGGTTTGGAGTCCTGGCGACAGCATCCACACTGGGGCTTAACCTCAGCAGCCAGCCTGGAGGATGTCTCCTCCAGAGCGCTTGGTCACCGACAGTGTCGTGAATATCTGCGGGGAGGAGAAAGCAACAGAATTTTAGACACCTGAGCGAATGAGTTAACAGGGAGCAGTTCAGATAACACCATATGTACTAAGAATGACTTAGGTGACTACTTACAAAGAATAAAACAGAGATGTAATATGACCAAGGATATCCTCAATTTCTCCAGAGGATAAAAGGGGAAAAACATTTTAAAACCAAGGTGAAAGAGAAGAAAATTTAGGTTATATCTAGTCAAGAACTTTTTTAGCATGAGGGTGATTAAAACAATTAAGTCAGTTACCCCGCTTGTCAATTCTCTAAAAGAAATGCATCATGAAATATTCTGGATATGTACAAAGGTATAAAGTACACTATTTCAAACGCCCCTGGCCCGCCCCACTCAGGGAGCTTTACGAGGATGGTTAGAGCCCAATGCGTGCCCCTCCCTGACCACCTTCTCCCTCCCTGCCCCTAACTGGTGCTTACCATCCCTATGTATTTCTTCCTGCATTTCTTTTGTAGGTTTTCAGAAACTTTACAAGTAAATGGCAAAATGATGTATGTACTCTTCTGCTACTTGCTTTCTTGGCTCAATATTGTATTTCTGTAATTCACTCATATGGATACAAATAGCTCTAATTCTTCCATTTTTCCACTTAAGAGTATTCAATTACTATAGCATACTATACCATATAGAGTATATATACTACATACTATAGTACTTAATTACTCAAATAGTGAATATATTACAAATTACATATCCAGGCTCCTTTTGCTGGCCATCCAAGCTATTGCCAATATGTTATTTGCAATATGCTCTGTGACATGCCAATGTCTCCTTGCACCCAGAGCTAGAGGTACAATTGCTGGGTTGAAGAGTCGGCTGGATTTCCAAGATGCCTGACCAACTGATACTCTCACTTGCAGTAACTGAGGAGGCCTCCTTGTTTCACATCCTTGCGAACATTTACTGCTTGTGGACTTAGAGCCCTAACATCTTTAGGGAGCTTTGACTTGCTACCACTCAAGACTGCCTATGCAAAAATCAATGGTTCTCAAACTTATAAGCCTGTTCACTGATTAAAATAACCGGAAACCACACTGATTCTGATTTTTTTTTTTTTTTAAAGATTTTATTTATTCAGTTTTTTCCCCCCAAAGCCCCAGTAGATAGTTGTACGTCATAGGTTCACATCCTTCTAGTTGCTGTACGTGGGACTCGGCCTCGCGTTGGACGGAGAAGTGGTGCCTCGGGGCGCTCCCAGGATCCGAACCCGGGCCGCCAGCATCAGAGCGCGCGCACTTAACCGCTAAGCCACGGGGCCGGCCCACTGATTCTGATTTGACAGATCTAGAGTAGGGCCGAGGAATCTCAATTTTAGCAGGAGTCCCAAGTGATTCTAATGCAGGCTGTCTAAAGACCACCACATATTAGAATTTCTTATGCAAAGCAACACCAGAGTGGGCAACGCGCTGTGAATTCTTGGCAAAATCCAAAGCCTAGAAGTCCACTGCGTGGGAAAGTAACTGCCAGTTACTTTAACTCTGTAGTTTCACCAAACAGAATGCCTGCAGCTCTCCTGCAGTCCATCAGTAACTCTCTCATCCAGAGGGCACCCTGTGCTGTTCACTTTACACCGCCCCTCTGTAGCGTTTCTTGTTGCTAATCTCACCTACCTATTAACAATTCTTTCCTCTTCTTGTTTCCATGAGAGTGCTCCTTCCTGTTTCCTTCTTTTGTGGCTATTCCTCAGCCATGGCAAAGAGGGGTACTCAAACGTCCCCCAGCCCTTGGGGTGGCCAGAGCTCCAGGGCTGGCTGTAGATGCAGCCGCCTGATCCATTTACTCCAATGTGCTGCACAAGTATTGCCATTGTCCATGTGGGGACAACATGAACAAGGCCACAAAGCACTCCCCCAGGTTCCACCCTCAGCTCTCTCCCCTCTAGACACTCTCCTGTCATAGTGTCTCATTCAGCCAACTACTCCCGTTTAGGCAGATGAATTCGCAATCTCTCCAGCCATTGTGTCTCCTGAGCTACACACCAGTGAGACCTAACACACACCTCTTCTTGGATGACACTTCAAACTTAACATGTCCAGGACTGAAGCCTTATCTCCCCTTCATCCGGTTCCTCTCAGTGAATGGCATCGCCACTACTTGGTTGTCCAGGCCACACATTTGGGATTAATCCTTAATTCTTCTATCTCCATTACTGCTGATATATAATCAGCTACTAAGTCTTATATATTTTGCTTCTTTTCTGTCAAATCTGATCTCTCTTCGTGTTAACACTGACACCAGGTTCAGGTCTTTCTAATTCTGATTGAACTACTGTGAAATTTTTGTCAGCTTCCAAAACATACAGTGCCTTCACCTCCCTGTGATGACTTTTCGTGTGGACTACACATTATACATTCCCGCCCTACTGGATGCAGACGTGGGGGCCAGGGCTTGCTCTGGCCAAGGACATGTGCGTGGAAGTGGGACACATCACTGCTGAACAGAAGCCTCAGGCACCAAGGTGTGCCTTCCTACAATCTCCTTCCCTCTGCCATTTAGCCAGCAACGCCCGGGGGAGAGGCTGCCCCATCAGCCCGATCCTGGAGTGAAGATGGCGTGGAAGCTGAGCTGCAGCTGACCCATGACGACCACAGAGCACCAGCAAGGAACCTTCATAGGCAAGAGACCAAAAATAGCCCCCACTGGCCATTTACATCGCTCAGGCTTGCAAACATAAAAGGGCTTTGTACTCGATCAACGAAATTTAGAAACACATTTGGTTACTGAGTACAACTAAGACTTCAATCCAAACCCCTTCTGGTCACACTAATAAGCTGGTGGGTAACTGGTAAGACTCTGCAGAGCCCATCTGCCCCATGCTACCCAGGCCAACGTTCTCAAGCATGGAGCGTCGTACTGAGACCAGAGGCCACGACTTATTTGGGAGAGTCCCCGGTGGAAGCAGGACTCAGAGAGTGCCTGTAACTTTGTTGGCACACCTGGACAAACTTTTTGGTCAGCTGCCCCTTTGATTCCTGAGAAATAACTAGTTTCCTAGTTTTCAACACAAAGAGGAAAGAGCACAAGAAATCAAGTCCATTTTGACTTATGCAGGTCAAAGGAACAGGAATAGCATCAAAACTACTTTTGAATAAAAGGGGAAGATACTTTTGTGTAAAGAAGGTACATTACTGCGAAAAGCCCTGAGTCTATTTTATTTTATTTATTATTTATTTATTTTTTTTCTCCCAAAGCCCCAGTAGATAGTTGTATGTCATAGCTGCACATCCTTCTAGTTGCTGTATGTGGAATGTGGCCTCAGCATGGCCGGAGAAGCGGTGGGTTGGTGCGCGCCCGGGATCCACCAGTAGCAGAGCGTGTGCACCCAACCACTAAGCCACGGGGCCGGCCCGCCCTGAGTCTATTTCAGCCTTAAAGCAGCGACAAAGCCATTTTACTTCCCATATGCTAACATATCATAAGCACCTCAAGAAATTCAGACCCAATAATAATGGCCAGTATCCTAAGACACTAAAAATACGAGGCCAGAAGAAAATATGGACAATTCACATAAAAAATAATAATAATAATTATGAGAAAAGAGGTTCATCTTTGTTAGCAAAGATATGCAAAAATCCTTGAAATAGTTATCCCTTTTATACTTTACTATAGAAAAAATATATTTACACCGAATTCGCAACATTTTCATTAGCACTCTTAAATTCCATGCTGATGACACTGTAAACTAGTAGAACTCTTTTGAAAAGCAATAAAATTCCTTTGTTTAAAAAAATGTGTGACTGATGAGGACAGAAGAACAATATGCAATAATGAAAATAGCTGTGTTAGGATGATGATGATACGGGCAATTTAAAATACCATCAAACATGTTCTTTTCAATTTTTATAAAGGAAGAAAAATAAGGAGGCAGGGAATACATTAAAACAAATTTCAGGCTTGTGAATTTGCAAGCTTAAGTTTTATTTCTCAGGAATTAATTTAGAAACAGAACTTGTGGGAGATTTAGATAGAAAACTAAACCCATCAAAAAAGGAAGCAGATACAAAAAGGAGCTCTTACCTATTTTTCTTATACTGATAACATGCTTACGCTAAAGAGATGGGGAAGCCAAATTGCCATGATTAGTCTAAATGAAAAAACTGACGGGGTCAATTTTTACAAGATTTTATTTGCACATAGCTGCTTTAGAATTGTCACAAAAACATGTTTCTAAAACGTGAGCATGGCAGCGACAATCTTCCTCAAGCAAAAAAAGGAAGATTGGCAAGAGATGTTAGCTCAGGGCCAATCTTCCTCACCAAAAAAAAAAAAAAAAAAAGTGAGCATGGAGGCTGCCCCTTCATGCTTTTCTATCCTAACACAAAGAACACTCACAAAAGGTCAAATGCAGCTGTAGGCATTCATCTCACGTTCACATCTGCCCCAACTCTGCCCAGCCTCATGAGACCCCTCACTCTAGACTGATTATGTTGACTACGAAAACAAAACTTTTTTTTTTTTTTAAGAGTAACCTGAAAATAAAACTTTTGATGTTCGGCACTAAAATTCATTTTAAGACATTGCATAGGGGTCTTTCCTAACGTTCCTTCCTCTTGAGCTATTATTCTTCCCCTTCAAATAAACTTGATTAGTTGAAATTACTACTCCAAATGATGTGTAATCAGTGTCCGCTTCAATTACTGCTGCTCAGATGTCCAGCATAAATTATCATGGACTACACTGAATAATGCCAACGCATGACTGATGCTTCAGGCGTTAGGACTCCCTCTCCTCCTGACACCAAGGGGCTTTCAGTCAAAACAAGAGTAGCCTCTCCTCTTAGAGCAACTCCTCAATGAAGGACTCATCAACTTTTCTAAGTAATTATTCCTCAGAGCCAAAGGTCGCTCAATTGCCCAGGTTATTTTATCAAAATGGCACAGAGGACTTCATTCGATAATTCATTCTGCAAACCACCCACAGCTGGCTTGGGAGCTGTGGCTAGTTCTGAACACTTTAAAACAGTGCTCAGGACCAGTTTTTAAATTATCAGGTCTAATCCATCCAATGGACTGACATTTGTGAAATTCAATAAAAACGTATTAGGAAAATGAAATTTTAAAAGGCATGTAAAATTAAAAGCCAATTTTTTATTATATCAGATACTGTCAAATAGCTCTTAAAGTTTCTAAACCTTTCTTCTTCATGTCCATCCCTATCTCACATGGACTAGTAACATTCTGAGGACCGAATTTTGAGCGGCACCCCTCTACAGCATATGACTGGACACGAAAAGACAGTGGGTTCAATAGTAAATTCAAGTTGGAACCCAGCATTTAGCACAAACAGTCCCTAAAAATCCCCTGCTGATCAAATGTCACTTTCTCTTGATCAAGAAGCTTTAAAAAAGATTTCCATAGTCAGGGGTCAGAAGCCTTTGGTTTTTTAAAATCTAGTTTCTAAACAAATATTTCATACCCAAAGGTAAAAAAAATTACCACAGGAGCTTTTTCAAAATATACATTCCTTCCCACCACCCACCCACCTTAAAAATACTGTAATGATGACCTTTAGTCAAGCCACATCTTCTATAATGAAATACCCTGGGAAAAACCAGCCAACAGATGCAGTTAAATGAGTATCTACCAAACGCCACGAACTCTCCTAAACACTTGGCACACAGCACTGCTCACCAGCTCTCTGAGTTACATGTTACCTCTATTTCATTTAATGTGTAAACTAAGCTTCTGCAAAGCTGGGTGATGTGGCCAGGTTCAACAAGAATTTGCTCAGTGAGATTACAACCCAGAGCTGGGTCTCCACTAGGCTCATATTGCCACCAAGAATCATTTCCATTTTTTAAATTCTATGTCAAATATCATGGGAAGACGTGTGCAAGTGGAGTATCATCTGTACAACGTGGGACCTCAGGAGCCAGACTGCATGGGTTTGAATCCCAGTCCCGCCACTTCTAAGCTGAGTAACTCTGGGCAAGTTACTCAACCTTTCTGTCCTCAATTTCCTCAGCTGTCAAATGGAGATACTACTGCCACCTACCCCGTGGAGTTCTTGTAAGGACTCAACTCGTGGACAGCTGAGTGCCTGACCCATACAGTAAGCCCTCAGAAGTATCAGCACCACTGCCAGTTGTTCCCTCAGACCTGCTCTCTGTTACTGCTTCCCACTTCAGACCACAAATGTGAGCCATTCTCAGTTCTTCCCTCTTCCCATTTCCAATCATTTGGCAAGCACTATCAACTCTATCTCCTATTTCTCTCCCAAATTTATCAACGTCTCTTGACATCCGCTGCCATCACCCCAGTTCAGGCCACTGCCACCTCCTCTCTCGCCTCTAGAGCTGCTTCCTCTGGTCCATCCTCCACAGCGCAGCCAGAGCGATTTCTCTCAACAATGTATCTGATCACATTATCCCCTGCTTTAAACCTCTTTCAGCTGAATCCCAGTGCCCCCAGGATCAAGTCAAAACACCCCGCCTTGGTTTACAAGGCCATGATCTTCCCACCTACTTCTCCAGCATAATTTTTTTCTTACCTCTCTTTAAGCTCTTCAAGCTACAGCAGCACTGAGTTCCCTCTGTGAGCCCTGCTCTCTCCCACAGAAGACTTTCATTTGGTGTTCCCTCCGACGGGCTCACACTAACACATCTTCTTGTTTTAGGCAGGAACTCCCTCCTCCACCGTCCTACCGCAATATCGCTACTCCAGACACCACTTGATATTTACCCTGATCCTAAGCCTCCTCACACGGAACTATAATTGGCGCTTCACTCATCTGTCTCCTCACTCTTAATCACATCTGAAATCCCTGCTGTATCCCCAGGTGCCCAGTGCAGTGCTATCCACATAGCTGTACAACAAATGTGTTCAGAGAGTGAGAGAACACTCAATTTCTCATCTTAATCAGCCATCGGCTTGGGAAAAAAAATCTCTAAACCTTATCAAAGCAGTGGAACATTCAGCTTCTGAGTTTCAAAGTCATAAGAGAACCCACAGATGGAGAAGCACAGCAGCAAACGCTTAAAAAGGGTTCCCGAATGTGCCAGGCATCCAAGGAGAGGAGGCCTTTGGCTGACCTCCCCACAGGCAGAGGCTTCATGAAGACATCCTGCCTCCTCACCACAGCTCTCTGTCCAGCTGGCAGTCATCCTGCCAGATGCTGCCACACTAGCCACTGCTGGATCATAACACAACACAACACAAAACAACCAGGTGGGGTGAGAGGAGTCAAGCACCCGTCAGTCTTTTAATCAGCCCACTGAGAGCTGAATTCAGATAAAACAAATTCGACACTCGCATATACAAGTTGGGAAGTTATCTTCTCATCCACGTCGGAGATGGTTGATGTAGTTTTTAATTTTAAATACACTTACTATTGTGGGTTGAATTAAGCCCCCCCAGAAAGATATGTTCAAGTCCTAACCTCCAGTACCTGTGAATGTGACTTTATTTGGAAACAGGGTCTTTACAGATGTAATTAAGGTAAGATGAGGTCATACTGGATTACGTGGCCCTAATCCAATGATGGATGTTCTTACAATAAGGGGGAAATTTGGACACAGATGCACAGGAGACAAGGCCACGTGAAGACAGAGTCAGAGATTGCATCAACAAGCCAACAAGCCAAGGAACACCAAGGACTGCCAGCAACCACCAAAAGCTAGAAGAGGCAAAGAAGGATTCCTCTCTAGAACCCTCGAAGGGAGTATGGTCCTGCTGACACCTTGATTTCAGACTTCTAGCCTCGAGAACTAAGAAAGAACAAATTTCCATTGTTTTAAGCCACCCAGTTTGTGGTACTTGTTTACAGGAACCCTAGAAACTAATACAGTCACTAAAAGTGTTTTTTAAAAAAAATGAAGTTAACTGGATCCTGGCCTAAGCAAAGAGTCTTAGTCACTACACTGAATAAAAGATATATCACACATTTTTAAAGAGCTTTGAGACTCCTTTCAATTTTTATGTTTTATGTTATATTTTTATGTTCAACATATATATGCTTATATATGAAGCTTAGTTTTATTTCATAAAAACAGCAGTTTTCTATGAATAATGCCCTAGTCACTAAACATGTTAATACTTTATGCTTCCACCCCAGCCAAGTGCATATTAATACAGAGAAGACGACTATCTCTAACCATAAAAAAGGCAAGGCAAAAGAAAACTAGAACATTTTTCCAGGTCTTAAAGCTGACATTTCATATACTCAGCAAAGAATTCAGTTGTGCAAGGGTAATCAAGAACAGAGACCAACCGGTTAACAAGATGCTGAATGAAATCTGGCATCAATGTGCACACGCGCATGCATGTGTGTGTGTGTCGGCACAACGTACACCCTGGAAACCACTGACTATGGTGGCTAGGTAACAGCTGCCATTTTCAACTCCCTACTTAAGCTGATACCTCCTCCCAGCCTTCACCAAGTTCTCCAACCTAGACACATTTTTGGTTTACAATCCCCATTTAGTAGTAAGCATCACCATATTCAACTCTTGGGAGATCACTGACAAGTGTGAAGAAACACTGACACCTAGAGGCCCAGAAGTGGTCAATTTCCAGTTCCACTGTCATTTGCTTTATCTTTTAAAAGCATCACTTTCAATCTCATTCTTTGATACCAAAAGCTAAAGAGGTAGACAATATCATTTAGCCCTGAGGTGGCTCCAGGAAAACTAGGATTGATGCTCTTTCTGGGTATGAATGGCATTATTAACTGATTGCCATGAAAATAATTTAGGAGAGATAAATAAAAGATTTAAGGCACATCTCTATAAATCACTCTCATCATTTTTACCATTTAACAGCATGACAGTACTATCCAGTTCACACCAGGAACAAAAAATATTTGAAAGAGGAAAAACTGTCTCTAGAGACAAAGCCTTCTTCTGAGGTCCTCTCCATCATTACTAAGCTGCAAGGAGGTACAGACGTAGCTTGAGTACAGCAGAAAGCACACAAGCCTCAGAGCCCTGGATCTGCTACTCGCAAGCGAGGTGACGTGCACCTCTGAACAAGAGCTGCGGAAGCGCAGGTGGCCCACCTCTGCACAGACGGGGTGGATGCCGATGGTGCTGTCCAGCTGCTCTTTGGTCAGTCCACACTTGATTGCAGCTGCAAAGCCCTGTGTAACTTCTCCAGCATTTGGACCCAGTACGTGAAAGCCTACAACACGCTCCTAAAACAGAAAATAAAGTAATATGATTATGCTGATTTTTTTCCTTAAGAGCCTAGAATATTTCCCCAGTCTCTTCTAAAACCCCATTAAGAAATGGCCAAAGACTTATATTAATGCTTGCCAAGCTGCGAGGCTGAAGGAACTCAGTACAGAGTGGGTGGTCAGAGCCAGCAAGGGGGAAGGGGTAAGAGCGGCCACGAGTGACGACGAGGAAGAACAGTAACAGCAAAGATGTCTGCAACTCCTGACGCACCAAAACGTTCTAGGAAGTGTTTTCAAAGGACAAGTGTGTCCTCATCTCCTCTATTTGGTTCTCAAAGCTACAGATAACTATCTGTAACAGCTGTAACATTTAACAGCAGTCATTCAAACTAAAAAATCATTTTAACTAAGGTTTTGGAGATAGATAGCACAATTAGATTTGAGACCATTCCAATCTAAAAACAGTTTTGCAAGCAAAAGAAAAATGTTTGAGAACTCTGAAATACCTGTGTGGGAATTATTTTGGATAAATTCTAAACCCCGAACTCAGGCTACCTCTCTGCCAAGATGCATTCTACTGCTCAGACTTTCAGAGCCAACTCCAACTGAGCTAGACTATCCAGTCCAATCTCCTCATAACAGATGAGGCAACTCAGGCTGTGGGGTGCAGAGCCTTATCTAAGGTTCAACTGCTCCCTGGAAAACAATCAGGAAGGTCATTCTGCTGCCAAAGTACTGTAATATTCCATGTGGGAATCTGTTTACTCATCCTGACAATCAGCAGTTTACTGTACGGATAAATAAAGCACAAAATATACCAGCACTTAAAATATACTAGATCAACATGTAATAATATGGATAGGATCTCAAAAGAACAAGAGTAAAAAGATAAGCTGCAGGCTTCTATTCACTGAGGACAGCAGTCTTAATTAAACCACACTGTATAATGTCTATGGACACACAATAGGTGGCAAACATACAACAACATTAACAGGTGAGACACTCCAACTTCAGGCCAGTGTTGCCTCTGGGGTCAGGAAGGAGTGAGGGGTATAGGATCAGGAAGGAATACAAAAGACTACACAGGCACAGGGTAATGGTTAATAGCACGGAATCTACATGGCCTGGGACTGAATTCCAGCTCTGCCATTAACTAGGTAAATGACCTGGGCACAATCACTTAATGACATGTGCTTCAGTTTCCTCATCTATAAAATGGGATAGTGATAGCACACACCTCCAGGGCTGTATGAGGAGTAAAGAGGTTAATACAGGTGGACCTCTAAGTGGTGCCCAGCACAGAGTAAGTGCTCATAAACACAGGCTGTTATAAACTGCCTCTGTGACGCTTTCTCACAAGACAAAAGCTCTGAAGCAAATATAGCAAAATGTTAACATTCACTGACTCTGCATGGTGGGCACTTCCCACATCTTTCTGTAAATTTTAAATATTTCATCTAAAAAAAGAATAGCGTACAGAAGGAATAAAAGCCTAGCAGACAATAAATATTATAATTATTATTTAAAACCAAGGATATTTAGACACTTAGTGAAGTGACTGACTCAAGATGAATAAAAGCATGTCCCAAGAATGGTCAAGTTCTAGAAACATGTTTTGGGACAAGACTGCTTATGAGAAGAGCAGTGACTAGTATTCCTCTTTTCTAATACCATCTTTGTCTATGAAAATAGTTGAAAACAATTTCACTCTACTTATGGCCTCAACTATTTTAATTAAAATACGTTTATTAGTAGTGAAAATTATCTTTCAGATTATGTAACAAATGCCATTTGAAAAAAATGACAGCAGTAGGGAAAAAAAGGACAAAAGAACTATATACAGTTAAAACAGATTTGCTTGGTATGAAGGACACTGTTGAGGTTTCACTGATTGCTACGTGCAACCGCAGTCTCTCTCGCTAGAGGCAGATAACAGATTGCCGATGAGAACATCTGACATTTTCTCCTTTTGTCTACAGTAGCATGACATCTAATGTACACATACAAATAAACTTATGATAAAACTTATGTCCAAAAAGAAAAACACTCTACATAAAATTGTTCTTTATGTCAACTGTGTATAGCTCGTTATGGGTTATCCTAGTATATTCATTTATTAAATGCATCTTTGATGACTTTTTGGAGAAGATCCAGGTTTTCCTAGAACTCTGGGAAAAAGATTCTGCAAAAAGCAATCTCAAACTGTGCTACTGTCTAGAGCAGTAGTTTCTAAACAGGATAAATGGCTTAATTATATTCAAATCCCAAGACATGAAAATTATGAGTTTATTAGCCTTTTAATGTATGGATTCTTCAGCATCATTTGTGTTTTTTACGGAGGACCTTTTTTTTTAAGGTAAGATTCCAGCTGAGTTAAAAACTCCAGTGCTCTTAAGAGTCAATCCGCAACACTTAAAGAGTATGTGTACAGACATACATGTGTCCTGGGTTACAATATAAAGTGGGGGGTAGCAGACAGAAAAGTTTGAAAACCAATGATTTATTCAATCATTTTACAGGCATGGAAACAAACTATGAGGTCAAGGAGTTTGCCCATAGGCCTTCAGTTACCAGTTGTTACAGGTAGCAGCAGGCAATAAAATCTTAAATCAGAACCCAATTAAGAGCTCTTCCTGTTACAGCTTTCTCATTTGTGCCAGCTGCTTAGGATGCAAACTCGTGCTATTCCTGTTCTTCTTTGTTCTGTCATTATGTTTATACAGTCACGATTTCATTGCTCCCCTTTTACAAACACAAACATAAACAATTCTCAAGTCATCCCTCTGGTTCCTTCATTCAGCAAGGTTTGACTGCCTGCCTACTATCTGTAGGGCTCTGTGCCAGGGAAGCTGAGAGGAGATCAAGCAGTGGAGCCATGGTACTTGCTCTAGGATAATGTCCCTGCAACTACGGAGACCTATAGGTAGAATACTAAAGGAATGCAATGTGTATCATGTGGTCAAAACAGAGCTACATATTAAAAACAACATGAAATTAGTAGAAAAGATTAAATAAGAATTGCACTTACATTGTCTTTGATATTACAGACTATTTTTGCGTAACATTTGTTGTTATCTCTTGATGGAACTGTCCATTCCAACGGCCAAAAGTAACTATGGTAAACCTAAGAAGGCATAAGCACAATTTAGACCCATTATCTTAAGACGAATGTTTGTCAAACACTAGGTGTGGTGCAAAGACAGTGAAAGCTCTTTAATAAATAGACTTTCGTTAAACAGTGAAATTCATGGAATAAACAGGAATGTGGTCAGAAGGCAAATGACTTGAAATTCCTTGTTGTCAGGTCCTTTCACTCTAAGCTCATCCCTTATTAAACTCAACCTCAAAGGAGTAAAGCTTAAGTAATAACAACAAAGAGCAAGCAAATCAGATAAAAAAGCCATATAATTACTTGCTGCTTTACATTAAAAAACAAAAAGCCCCCAAAAAACCTCAACGCTATTTTGTTACCTTATAGAAATGACAACTTTGGGCAAGAAACAAGTAAGATGCCAGGAACAATTATAGCAATTATCTAGTTCTCTTGCTTAATGCTTCCAAAGACATTTCCTCCTTTGGCATTATTCACCAAAGCACTGAAGGAGAGGAGGAGGGAGGGAGGGAAGACGGACAGATGGAGGACACACAGACATCCTCACTGACATTTCATAAACTTAACTCCTGGATGACTAAAGGGATTTTTTTTTCCTCCAACTGCTAGCCTCAATTCAAAACATATGTGGTTGGCTATCTTTTAAAAACATACTAATTATGTAGACGACATTATAATAAATGTTCTTTTATGTTGTAATATGATTTTTTTTTAAATGTGGATTACAAAATTGAATGTATAGTATCACAGTATCACAACAATTACACACGGAAAAGATGATTAAAGAAATTACCCCAAATTGCTAATAACGGCTGTTACAGACATAAGTCTGAGTAATTGTTTCCTATTTCCCCTACATTTTTCAAAATTTCTTTAATTCAGGTGAATTACTTTTATAATGAGAAATGCAAATTCTAATAAAACAAAAGCCAAAGATTATTTGTCAAGAAATATGGAATATTAGTAAGAATCTTAAAATTTAAATACCTTTTGATAGGAATCTATCCTTAGAAAATAAACAGAAAAACAGACAATGAATTGTGAAGATGTTCATCATTCTATTTATAAGTGAAAAACTGTAAACAATCTAAGAATGGCTCAACAAATTATTGTATAGCATCCCTAAAAAGAAATATTACACAAATCATGTTTTAAAATGGTGTTTTTAGGGGGAAATGCTCGTTACTTAACATTAATTGTAAAGTAGGACAGAAATCTGTACATAACTTAATCATCCTTAAAATTAAGACACATGTACCTACACAAAAGGAGACCAGAATATGCCAAAATATTAATAGTGGTTATCTCTTCATGAATTAAAATTTCCTTTTTAATATTTTCCTAATTTTTCAAACTTTTTACGAGGATGTGTTATTTTTATAATCAGAAAAAAATGTTAATACTATATTATTACTAGACCAAGATATTACATGCTACTACTAATGCATTATAATAAAGAAAAAAAATGTTAAGAGATATAAAATAGACTTCTGTATCATAAAATTTACTGATTTACAAATCTGGTCTTTTAAAAGGACTCTTTTCTCAAATGATTTAAAACGGCAGCCCCTTTGTGTAGCATTATTTGTGTATATAAAAATAGCATATTTCACATGCATTTTCCTTGACTATATGATACAAGGCAAGTGGCAGTTAGTACAAATTAGAGAGTAATGGTAGGAAAAAAACCCAATACTAATAGAACCGTATAAACATAGCTAATTTTTAGTTATCTTCTTTTCCTATATTTTTCATATTTCCAACAATATTGTTTTCATAATAAAAAGAAACCAGTAAAAGCAGTTTTAAAAAGTAGAACTAAGTATTACTGGGTCAACTGATGAAACTGAAAAACGGAAGGTAGATGAGATAAAAGTATTACAATATTATACAATTTTACAATTAATACAATTGTATTGTATTAATTGTATACAATTAATACAATATTAAATTTCTTAAAAGTGATAACTACACTGTGGCTATATAAGGAAATGTCTTTGTTCATAGGAAATACACACTGAAGTATTTAGGGGTAAAGAGACATTCTACTTACTTCTCAAATGGTTCAGGAAAAAAAACATACACACAAATACACAGAGATACAGAGAATATGAAAAGTATAAAACAAATAGGCAAAATGTTAATAACATGTTTATCTGAATAATGGGTATACGGAAGTTCTTTGTACTATTTTTCAACTTTTCGAAACGGCTGAAATTACTTTAAATTTTGAAAAAAAAAGTAGCGGTAACTTAACATAGGAGTCAAGAATAGAACTTACCTCAATATTTTCTTCCCCAAATTTCTCCACAGCTTTCTCTTCAGAAAGACCACAAGCACCATATTCCAAAGGAGTAAAGACAGTTGTTGGAACATTTTCATAGTCACACTGTTTCAAAATGGAGGAAAAGAGTTATGACAGAATTTGTAAGTCAAAAAAGGGTATACTTCAAAAAGGTTCAAAATTAGGAGAGGAAAATAGACTAATAAATTTCTACCAAATGTATGGGAAGCCTCAATCCCAGATATAAACCTACACTGAGAACCATTAACTGATGTGACGTAGAAGTTTGAAGTCTGGCAAGACTGGTCATGAATAACTGATTCACGTGGCTTCTCCATCCATCTACCAACAAAGACACACTTTTTCTCCCTTTAATAAAGCAACCAAAAACAATACTAGTGTACCCAATGCTGATAGTCTCATATTATCAGTAACAGAAATTAAGTGACTTCTTTGGAAAACCAATTAGGTAATACATATTAAGAGCCATAAAAACATTTTATACCTTTTGGCCCAATAATCTCACTTTTAGAAACCTATAATAATAATTTAATATATAGAAAAAGCTACATGAATTAATTGAGCATTGCTGCAGTACTCATCAATAGGGGCAACATCAGAGTGGCTTTAAAAGGCAAATAAGGAAGGGGTTCTATAGTACATACTCTCAATGTAATATTATGCAGCCATTAAAATAGTAATAAAGACCATAGACACAAAAAAGCTAATGATTAGGACAGTATTCCCAGAGCGTATTTTATGATGTTAATAGGTGTAGATGACAAAAAGGTTCTGAAGTCAGACAAGTTTGTAAAACGCTGCATTAAGCAAATAAACAGGTTTCTCTACTATCAGATTTCTCAGAACCTTTAACGTGCTGATGTGACTTGTGAAAAACGTATTACGTAAGTGTAAAATGTGTTTGTAAATGCTATTTAGTAAAAACCTACTAGTTACATTTGTACGCAGAGGAGAGCCTAAGTAACATTCTGCATTTAAAATATGAGAAATTCAATTCTCACTCTCTAAAACGAGAGAAATCTTTAAAATGTGCCTCCCTCTAGAAACAATAAATATAGTCCTTTTTGTCTAAGAAGAACACAAACTCTTGAAATTCTGATTCAAAGGTAAAGGCAGACATCCACTGACAGCCATAACGGTGTTATCAGGGACCAGATTTACCTTCCTGCTTTGAACTACTAGAAGCTCAGACAAACAGGAAGCAGCACTTTGTAGTCACTGAATAACGGGCAGTGCAGGACCCTTACCCCCGAGAGAAGGACAACATGGGAGGGGAGCCCAGTGACTGCCCAGTGACAGCCCAGAGCAGTTTCTAGGACGCAGTGCAAGCAGAGAGAACTCAAGCAGAGTGCAGCCATCTTGCTGAGTTATGGAGACAGAGATCACAGTTCGGGGTAGCAAGGCAGGTCAAAGCTGCAGGGCAGAACACCATCACGGGAGGAGCTGCACACAGAGAACTCCTGAGATCTGCAGAGAGGTCCTCCTGAGATGTGGGCCGAGTACTGATCTGTAAATGTGTCAGAGGGAAGTACTCAAAGGTGAGGAAAGAACCATTGGAAAGCAGTAGGCCCCCAAATGACCAGAGCTCTTCCAGGACCAGAAATAGCTCCCGTCCCCACAGCCAGAGTAGAAAGAATTCAGAATGCAAGAGGAACGGGGTAGAGTCCTCTGAAGAGCATCGATTTAATAGTGGAACTAAATCAGTTCTAGATGAAAGGTTGCTGTTGACGGACCCTAAAAAGCTTAAAAGCAAGTTAAAAAAGGATAAAACTAATCCCATGTAACTTGACGGGCTGCCAGAACAAAGTCCAACACTGTATAAAGGAATTCAACAAAACCCAGTACCCAACAACATAATATGTATAAGGTCCACATCCATCCAAACGTAACAAGTCATGCAAAGGAGCGAGAACATGTGAACCAAAACCAAGAGAAAACTCAATCAACAGAAACAGACACTGAAAATGAGATGACGGAATTAGCAGAGGACATTAACAGAACTATTATAAACAGGTTCTGAATATTCAGAAGACAGAGGAAAACAAGAACTTACTGAGGAGATAAGAAAAAAAATTGTAGAAATGAAAAGAACTATCTGAAGTGCAAACTACACAGACTGGGATTAACAACCCAAGACAGTGCAGATGAAAATATCAGCGAACCTGAAGATACAGCAATAGGCTAAGAAAATGAAGCACAGAAACAGGGGTGGAAAACATGAACACAGCATCAGAGACCACAAAATAATATGCAGGGATCCAACATTCATTATTTGGAGGCTGAAGGAAAAAAAGGAGAGGGAAGACAGAAAAAATAAGTGAACAGCTGATCCAAATTTGACAAAAACCATAAACTGACACATCCAAAAATCTTTTTTTTTTTTGGTGAAGAGATCAGCCCTGTCCTAACATCTGCCAATCCTCCTCTTTTTTTGCTGAGGAAGACTGGCCCTGGGCTAACATCCATGCCCATCTTCCTCCACTTCATATGGGATGCCGCCACAGCATGCCTTGCCAAGCAGTGCATCGGTGCGCGCCCAGGATCTGAACCGGGGAACCCCGGGCCACTGCAGTGGAGCCCGCGCACTTAACCGCTTGCGCCACTGGGCCGGCCCCAAATCCAAGAATCTTGACAAACCACAAGCGTAATAATTATAAAGAAAAGCAAACGAAGGCATACAATAATCAAACTGCTAAAAAACAGTGATTAAAAAAAAATCTTAAGAGGAACAAAGATAAAAACGATAGCCTACTTCTCAGAATCTACGCAAGCAGAAGACAACGGGCAAATCATTAAAACATTTAAAGAAACACTGTTAATCTAGAACTCTATATTCAACAAAAATACTTTCCAAAAAATGAATTTTTTTTTAAAAAGCAAAATAAACTTTTTTTTAAAAAGAAAAACAAAAGCCAAGAAATTCACCACGAGCAGGAACGCACTAAATAACTGTTAAATGAAGTTCTTCAGGCAGAAAATGGTATATCAGATGGAAATCTGGATCCACATAAAAGATATGTTTCTCCTAGGTCCCAGAATTCAGTTTCTAATTGGCTTAAATGGACTGTCACGGCCTAGCTTGAAAATGTAATCATTGTTTTTGTTTTTTTAATTTTTTTATTGATGTCTTAATAGTGTACAACGTTGTGAAATTTTGATTGTACATTATTGTCTGTCAATCACCATATACATGTCTCCCTTCACTCCCTGTGCCCACCCCCCACCTCCATTTGTAATCATTGTTTTTAATACTTTTATTTGGAAAAAAACACTTCGTAGTTTTCACAACAATCAACTTAATGAAGTTTTAGAATATAACCCGTTCTGAAGTTGAAGATACATGTACTGTGGTTTCTTCAGTTTCCACAGAAAATACTTTATATTTACTATAAAAAAGAGTTAACTTATAAAATACCACTTGAAGTAAAAATAAAGATGCTAATGTTTACTATATGTAAAAATAAAAGTATTTCAGGTGTTTGAGAGCAATTCTAAAAAGATCCAAGAAATGACAACTGGTCATTCTGCTGAAGTGTCCATCATTCTGTGCTTTAAAGTTGGTATTTGTGTCTTATCATTTGGCTTTTTAAAGAGTTTAATGGAATGTCCATCATCTATAGCTGACTCAGTTTTATGGTCTATTCTCCACCAGTTGTTTGTTTTTCTTTTAATTTTTAATTGTTTTGGTGAGGAGGATTAGCCCTGAGCTAACATCTGTTGCCAACCTTCCTCTTTTTACTTGAGGAAGATTAACCCTGGGCTAACACCTGTGCCCATCTTCCTCTACTTTATAGGTGGGACGCCATCACAGCATGGCTTGATAAGTGGTGCATAGGTCCACACCGGGGACCCAAACCCGTGAACCCCAGACCGCTGAAGCAGAGCGTGCAAACCCAACCACTACACCACCAGGCCGGCCCCGCTCTATCAGTTTTTGAAATGATAAAAACATTTTTTTTCATTCCTTCATGTTCCCTAAATAATGGAATATTTCGTTTATTTAGTGCCAAATATTTATAGCAGCTTTGAAAACAACTTTAATCATTAAGTGTTAAAAAGGTTCATTTAAAATTTTCCAATATATGTTCCACTTTATTTCATTCATAAAAATTTAAATTATAGAGAGATTTGCAAATTGGTGGAGTCCAAGTCCTGAGATGTCTTTTGTATCCTCGTTGCCTATTCTTTTATAATCTATACTTCCCAAATCTTCCTTCTCTCTTAGGCAATAACTCATCATGGTTAAGATAGCAGTACCTACAATCAGATCTGGACTTGATTGATGCCTTGGCTGCCTACTAGCATTGTGACCTTAGACCGTTATCTAATTCTCCTGTAATACATCATTAGTCTTCACGGCTGTCGTAAGACTGAATGAGATAATGTGTATAAAGCACTTAGCACAGTGCCAGGCACGTTGGAAGCACTCAAAGGTAGCTGTTCTTTGTCTCCTTTCCTCCAAAACTCTTGTGAAGCAATAAAGAATATATGATATCAATTTTGGAGGAAGGCACAAACGTCCATGATTCATTTTGGGTTCTAAAAATCCCATAATAGATTTAATTTAGCCAGGTGTTTACATTAAGCTGAATTTTTCAATAGAGAGCTGCTCCTTTAAAAGGGAGGAAGGTGGGTGTGGATCCTCTACCTTCTCAGATATGTGGGAATGTTCTCATTAAAGCATGTTGGGCAAAATTAAAGAGATTATGCTGTTGCTTAAAAAAAAACTTGAGTAACTCATTAACCTAGATACCTATTAGTATTTCAGCTTTATTTACATATTGAAGGACAGACCGAAATTTCAAACTCAGGGAACTGACCAGCTCCTGTTTACTTCCCTGTTCAGTAAAGTACTTGTCATATTAGTTAGACTAAAAATAAGGGGGGAAAAAAAACAAAAAAGAGTCCTTTAATTTCAATTTACATTAAATTCAGATGCTGATAAAACCTTAAGGCACTTTAAGAATTTGCTCTACCTGACAAATGCTAGAATACAGTTCTATCCCCACATATGGAAGTACATGTCCAAAGTGGGTGGCAAGAGTCATTAAATTTTTTTTTAGGAATTTTGTGCTACAATGATTTCAAATTTATTTAGGAGCAAATTTTTGCATGTTTGACCTTCGGTTATTGTTGGTATATAAATATATCTCTTTCCATTTTAGGAAACCACAAAGATCTAAGGTCAAGAACAAATTAAATGCATCTCAAGCTGTATTTCTAAACACTCTTTCTTGATTTACCAGATACTCAACAACTGCAACAGTGAATACAAGACATAACTCACTCAAAGAGGTGGTTAAGTTTATTCCAAATAGTTAAATGAACCAAGTGCTATTCCCTGGATGATCAGAAAATCTGGGATTCAAAACCCTTTTTACTCTCAATCCTGTTAATTTCCGAATATAAGATTTTATTATGCTACAATCCAAACTAACCCCAGGTACATTCAAAATGCTTGTCACAAATTTCAGAAGCAGCGTTCTTAGAGGTTACCATTACTACAAACAACCTCAATCAACCCATGATGATTTACGCACAAAGAAAATGGGCAGTGACTAAATTCTTTACAATCAATGTTTCCAGAATCCTTTTAAAAAAATAATTAAGGACAGAATGTTGATAATGGGGAAGGGTATGCATGTGTGGGGGCAGGGGGCATATGGGAAATCTCTGTACCTTACTCTCAGTTTTGCTGTGAACCTAAAATTGCTCTAAAAAAAAAAAAAAAACAGTCTTAAAAAAATAATTAGAGCATATTTATTCTTTTCTCGCCATCTGGTCCCAGGAAATACCTAAGAATTTCAATGTCCTACACTGACTTTTAAAAACCACTTTAAAACATTAATGTAACACATTCAACATTCCAAGAGCGGCAAACATATTTTTAGAAAGGACAAGGGAACAAAGTCTGAATATTGGTTTAAGCAGCTCTGCACAGTGACATTATTACCTAGATTCCCCAAATCCTTTTATAGCTTAGATAGGTGCACAAAAAGATTTAGAAAATTATACTTACATTGGTAATAATGAAATTAATGTAAAATGCAACTATTATGAGTATATGGAACATAATAGTGCCGCAACTCGATTAACCAAGCTCATTTTATTCATAGTGTGATTCCAAGAGTGACACTTTTCATAATAAAGTCACAAAGGTACAGCAGTCTTAACAATGTCTCATTTGGAATACAGTTAATACAGCACATCTAGGATGCCATCATCAAAATAATTACATTATTCAAGACCTGGAAAACTTCACAACCACCCCTAAATAGAGAACTGGGAATATTATTAAAAACAGTATCTCAGTGGGTGATGGACACAACACTCACCTTGACAGTGGAGCCACCATAAAGCCTCTGAGCCAGCAATCTTCCTGCCTGGATGGCTACGGGGGTGAGCTCCAGCTTTCCCTCCAATATGTCACCAATGGCATAGATGTAAGGTACGTTGGTCTGCTCTTCATCTGTGACAGGTATTTTTCCAGTCCTATAAATTCATTCAGTTAAAATCAGCATCAATTACCACTATTAATTAAGTAGAACAAAATCTCCTTTCTCCCAAAGAAGCCCAAAATTGTGACTCCAGCTGAGGGCAAGGTTCTAATGCATTACCAAAAAAAAAAAAGTTCAGAGGAACCAGAAGCCTAGAGACAATTCTGGCTATTTCAAAAAATCAGAGGAATAAGAAAACTATAAGAAACCCTAGAATGGGAGAACTAGAACATAGTGGTTGAGAATGTGGACTCTAAATTGTAATAACCAGGTCTGTAGTTATTACCTCTACAATCTTGGGAGAGCTATCTAACATCTCTAAGCCTCATTTTCCCACCTATACAGGGGAATAATGATAATAGGAATAATAGTAAAAAGAAAAAGAATACCATCATCTACCCTAAGGGGTTGTAAGGACTGAATGAGAATGTATATAAAACATTTAGCACAACAGTCCACGGCTCATAGTAAGCACAGAATAAATGTTAGCTATTAACATTATACAAAACCTAAACCTTGGACCCAACTGGAAATAGGCTAGCAGGTTATTACTATGATGGAACATCTGATCTGCTAAATCTTATTAGTGACCTCCTCAACTCCCTTGTCTCTCCACCCCAACGGGAAAAAAAAAATCGAGCAAAAATCCTCACACTAAGATTAGGAAATCTCTTCTCCTGAATAAATGTTACTCCTGGAAGGAAACAAACAAACCCTGTATTTTCAGTTTCCAAGCAGGTAACCATACACAGCACTTGTTTTCACTTGGATGTAAGAAAGGTGATACTGGGAAGCACCCCATGCCACTCCCATAAGCAGATACCACAGTCTCAGTTATCTGGTGCCCTGGTTCAGTCTAAAGGATTTTACCTTAAAAAAAAATCAGTTTTCATACTTGTAGCTGTCACTAAAAATGAAGTGACCACTTTGGTGATCCTAAAACTTGGTAACTTTAAACATAGTTCAAATCTACATATTTAAGGAAGCTCAAAGCACACACTTGTACACATACACGTTAAAGAAATAAAAAAGAAGTCAGTATCTCTCTCATTTAGATTTGGAAAAGGAAAAACAAACAAATAGGAAATTTCAGTGAAGGGCACTGAAAGAAGTTTTCTAAGCTAAAAAAGGGAACGTCCCAACTATGGTAAAAATTAACTTTAAAAATCTGAAACTCCAGTATTAATCAATATTATAAATAACTGAAATAGTATTCAATAGGACATAATAAAGATTTTTTTCTTACTTTTCATTTATCTTTACCCCCACGGTTTCTAAGCCAATTTTTCTTGTGCAAGCATCTCTTCCTATTGCCAGCAACACCTGAAAAATTATTAATATACAGTGATTGTTAACAAGAAGGCTTTGCATGAGTTATTTAATCATATTTTTCTCTGCTTATTAAGATAATCTGATTCATTTTCCAGATCTGGAAAGAAAGATTTTATTAAGAAAATAATGCAAGAGTTTAAACAAATTAAAATGTTTTAAATAAAATCCTTTCAACATGATATAGCAGAAATTCTTGTTTCTTGTTAAGCAAAAAGGAGTTAACAATTCCTTAAATAAATCTAGCCAAGATTAGAGACAAAGGCACCATAGCTTATGACTGAATTAAAGTATTTTTTTAAAGGGGTGGGCTGGGGAGATAAAAGGAAACAACACAGGACAGAGAAATTCTAGCTCATTTAAAAATGCTGGGACCGGCCCCATAGCATATGGTTGGGTGCGCGCGCTCTGCTGCTGGCGGCCCAGGTTCAGATCCCGGGCACACACCAATGCACCACTTGTCAGGCCATGCTGTGGTGGCCTCCCACACAAAGTGGAGGAAGATAAGCACAGATGTTAGCTCAGGGCCAGTCTTCCTCAGCAAAAAAAAAGAGGAAGATTGGCACGGATGTTAGCTCAAGGCTGATCTTCCTCACACACACAAAAAAAATGCTGATGCCTTTTTATAGCCATTTGGAAAAAAATATTTTAAGTTACAGTGAGAAAAATTTGAAACCATCTCTATACCCAAACCAATTATAATATCACAAGTAATAAGGATGTCTTAGAATAGGAATAGAACCATGGGTTTTGGAAATAGCAATCAACCATTGAAGTACCCAGCAAATACCCAATAAGCACATTATTTGCTTTCTAATGAAGTACTGACCTAGGTCCAGTCCTTACCGTGTTAAACTCTCCTTCGATGGTTTTGTCACCCGTGGTGGACTGAGCTACCACTCTGAGTCGACCTGGTGTCCCTGCTTCAATTTGTTCAACCTATAAGAGTGATCAAGTCTTACTCCACAAGAAGACATGTATCCAAGTGAATAATTGTGTCCTCCTCTTCTATCTCTTTAACCCAAAGTTAAAACATAAAATCTAGCTTGAAAGTTCTTTTATGCCAACTCCCTCACCTTAGCATCATTAGGACGGTATGTGATTCTTTTATTTATCCTCTTCTTTCTCACTGCTTAATGATTGCTAGGGGAGCTTTCTTTTAAACTGCTCTCAAAAGAATAAAATTCAGAGACAAAAGTAGGAAAGGAAAAAGCCAGAGAGAGCACCCTACAATCCCTAAAATTAAACCAATGACCTATTGCTTTTCCCAGGCTCCTATCTTATAACTCACCCAGAACCATTAATGCCCTGGAGAGCCACTGCTGCTCAAATTCAGGATCCTCTTTTGACTAGATGTTCAGCTTTGTCAGCAAGAATAGACACGGTAGCAGGCCAATCATGATACAGATAACAGCTAGAAAGCCCTAAAAATCATAGTGGGCAAGGAGGTATGTGTGTTTATCATAACTAGGGGTTGTCTTCACTTGTTAAGGATACAGGGAGGAATGAGCAAGCCCGGGTACTTGTGCTATGGCAAATGAGGAACATACTAACCCACTACACACAGATGTCAGTGATAACCTACAGACTCCATAACAGTGACTTAGAAACTCTGTCACCTGCAGGCTTCTACAAGTATGTAATTAACCTTTGATGTCTCTGAATGACAGCCAAATTATGGGTTTCTATAAAACATTTAATGGGAGAAACCCATAAAGTCACCGCAATTTCTACTCTATCTTTGAAATACAACCACTCTGTATGGGAAAACTGTCATTTTATTTTCAACATCAACAAACAGTAAAGATTTCCTTCTCAAATTTCATTCCTTTCTTATATAGGTAAGCCCCTTTGAACACATCGGAAATGTCTTTCCTGTTTAATTTAAATTAAAATGTTCAAATCTCTGGAGAAGAGCTGAATTGGTCCATGGCTTAGATTTGCTTAAAAATGATAAGGGCCTCATCGCACCTCTAATTCCTTCCTGCCTTACTCATTTTTGTGTTCTAGTCAGACCTTTTCTGTACCTAGAACATTCTCTGCATTTAGAACAATTTTATTCCCCATAGCCTCTCTGCACATATTATGTTCTTTGTCCAAAATGTGCTCTCTCCCTCCTCTCTGCAGAAGGTTTCTTCCACTCAGTCACTTTATAATACAGCTAGCATTCTCTACCTGCCTAGGGAGATCAGAGACACCCTGGTAACCCAAGCAAAAGGTTATGTGCACAGACACAGGTTTATTTCACTAGGGATAGTCCACCAGGATCTCAAAGGGCCCACAACTCCCCAAATGTTAACATACTATAAAGGAAGATGTAACTTTTCTATCAGTACAGCATATATATACAGCTGTTGTTTTTTAATCATAGTCCTAGTGCAAATATAGCACATATACCTCTATTCCCCAAAAAACAGCTAATTTATCTATCTATTTATTTAAGGTAAATAATGTAATGATGATGGGGGGCCAGCCCAGTGACCTAATGGTTAAGTTTGGCGTGCTCTGCTTCAGCGGCCCAGGTTCAGTTCCCAGGCACGAACCTACACCACTCGTCAGCTATGCTATGGTGGCAACCCACAGGCAAAACAGAGGAAGACTGGCCACAGATGTCAGCTCAGGGCGAATCTTCCTCAAGCAAATAAATAAATAAATAAATAATGTGATGATGTAACACTCACATTTCTTTAAACACAATAACTTCCAGGAAATTTGCTACTTAATCTTCACAACAATCTTATGAGATAGATTCGTTTTAGACTTACCCTGTGCCAGGTACTGTTCTAATAATTTTCTAACTAAATATAAGCTAATTTGATCCTCATAAGAACTCTGAGATAGGTGCTATTTATCATCCTCATTTTACGGAAGAAGCTGAGGCTCAGAACACGTAAGTCATTCTCCCAAAGTCACACAGCAAGAAACTGGCAGAACAGTCTTTGAATTCAGGTCATTCTGATCCCAATGCTCATAACTCATGACTATCAGCATTAAGAGATTCATGGTCCCACAACAACCCATTGAGCAATCAAAAAAATGACAGCTAAAATTCCTTAACTTTAACAAAATAGGCCCACTCTGACCTGCTCTAAAAGAAACTATTAGTTTGCTAAGATGCAAAGTGACTGATCTTGTCACTCTTATGTTTCAAAATGGTTGTGGTAGCGTCAACAAGACCCAAATATGACTTGGCATATTATTCAGCCTTTTCAAAAGAAGATTAAATTAAAAAAAGGACAGTCCACATAGCAAAATTAGATAATCATTTCTAGGGAAGCCAGAATAAAATAGTGCATCTGTTGAGTATACTGTATACCAAGGAGAAATGTTGTATGCAAAAAAAAAAAAAAAAAAAAAAAAAAAAAAAATCAGCCTAGTCTTGAACTCTCATTTAAATCACTGATCTGTATGAAGAAACAAAGTTTAACAGACCAAAGATAGTAAAATAAAGGAATGCATAAAAGGAAGCATTAAACAGAAGAGAAACAAAGGTAAGAAAGTGGAGAAGGGAAGGAAGAAATTATTAATCTAGAAATAAGAACAAAGCTACTCAGGTGGTGGGCATGAAGAAGTTTATATAACACAGTTGAGGAATTACAGCACTCCTAATGGTTTACCTACAGGCAACCCCACTTACTTTTATTGGTACAAACTGTTTTATAAACTTGATACCATGTTCTTCCATATGTTCACCAATTTTGTTGGCCATGTCCTGGTCAAATCCTCTAAGGAGAATGGACCGTACCATAACAGTGACATCTAAACCAATGCCAGCAAGAAATCCAGCACATTCCAAAGCAACATAGGATGCTCCGACCACCAGGGTCTTACCCGGGCAATAAGGTAAGGAGAAAAGATCATCACTGAAAAGAAATGTAAAAAAAAAAAAAAGAAAGAAAGAAGAGAAAAATGTTTATATGTGAATAATGACCAAATCAAAGTAAATATTTTTACCTTCTTAAGAACAAGACACTTTTAAGATTAAAAACATTCAATTTGCTACACACATAACATTTGAGAAGTTTTTATAAGGTCTTAGACACTCTCCCTTTCTTGTCACTCAGTTGCTTTGGGAGTAGCTCAAGCTACCGTGGCTGAGCATAGCAAACCATATAACTTGTGACATTAGTCCAACTCATGGTCAAACAAAATGACTTTGTACTGTTCAGAGTAATTCTCCATTTATGTGTTTAAAATCACACATTTGCAAACCTAAACCCCCACCCTCATCCCACCACTCAAGCTCTCTCCAAGGTGGAAAACCTGCATAACTTCTCATCTGGAACACCAATTATCAAGAGTGGGGAGAAAGGTGGGGAAAAACTTTCAACATATTGTCTTTGTAACATAAAAGCCAACTATAAAAAATAAAATCTGACAAAATCTTCCAGTCAAGTGAGGATATACAAGACATAAGAGAGATCATAAAAGCATTGTTGGGGAATGAGTTTTTTTAAATCTGAGAAGAGAGCCTAATCAAGACAACAATGATAACAGTTGCCACCTGAGCTGCCCCAGATGAGGCACAAAAGATAAAATCATATTACAAGGAAAAAAAAAAAAAGGAGCCTAAAAATGAGAAATTTATAATACAATCAGAAACTCTTGGGTCAAAAGCATCCAAGAAGTCATATTTATCAACAATCTGTCTTAACGACTTCATAATTTAAAACTCAACAACGTCACCAGCATTATCAATTGATGGGCAAAAATAAATCACACAGCAAAACCTTCCTGACTGACTCACTTATTTCAGAAAGTCTCTCTGTACTGACACCGTGACCATTTGAACAGCAATGAGTAGGGACTAGGTTCTGATAAACCTAAATGGCTTGCCATCCTTTAATTCTTTTAGCATCCACATTTGAAGTGTTAAAGGGTAATAGATAACCCTAGTTTTGCAAAAAGAGTACATACATATGTATCACTTATTTTACAAAATGTTTGTAAATATCCATCTGGTTTTATATAGTATATATTTATAATATATACTCACACATATATAAATTTCAAATATAAATATTATAAGCATATATCTGTATGTTAGCAGTGGTATTAACTCTGGGTGATAAGATGACCAATGTTCATAGTTTTGACTTTTTTAAGTGTTCTCTTGGGTAAACTAATTTTTCCTTTCTCTTTTTTCCCAATCCCCCATCTCTTTGGGCAAAAATCTCTGAATTCCAGGAAACAGATTAAATGGTTTTGAAGAAAAAAGCAAATGCATAAATCCACAATGGGTTTTTCTTTTCTCCTGCTACTGTTTCCTTACCTGCTGATGCAGTATTCTTTGTCACCAGGGATATCTAAATAACGTGGTCTTTCACCAGTGGCAATGAGAAATCTCTCTGCTGTATAAATGTTTTCTTTGCCTCTGTTATTTGTTGTCTACACAGGAAACAATGTATCAATTTTTAATAAGTTATTATCCCTTTAGAATCATACACTTTATAATTGAAAAGGCCATTCACCACATTGTCCAATTTGATCCTCATAAAACTTGGTAATGCAGTTAAGAAAGAGATATTAAAGCTCTGTGTAGTGAAGGGGCTTGCTGAAGGTCATAATGCTAGGAAGTGGGCAGAGCCAAGACTCAAATCTGGGTCACCTGGCCCTGAATCCAATATTCTTACCCTTTACCACACACACCACAAGAGAAAGCCCCATAACAAGAGGTGACTGACGGGGCTGACCCCGTGGCATAGTGGTTAAGTGCACGCGCTCTGCTGCTGGCGGCCTGGGTTCGGATCCCAGGCGCGCACCGACACACCGCTTGTTCAGGCCATGCTGTGGCGGCGTCCCATATAAAGAGGAAGATAGGCCCAGGGCCAGTGTTCCTCAGCAAAAAGAGGAGGATTGGCATGGATGTTAGCTCAGGGCTGATCTTCCTCACAAAAAAAAAAAGAAGAGGTGACTGCAAAATCACCAAACTGGACAGTCTGGGTCACAGTGGCTATTAACTTTCATTAGGACAATCGCTTTCTCGTTTCCTCCCCTTACCCCAACCAAAGCTTAAAAAAACAAAATTTTAAAAAAGCCACTCAGGCTATCACACAATTACCTTAACCCTATGAGGACCAACAAACTGCCCATATGCGTTCTCATAGGTGACTTTCTTCTCCCGCAGAGCTACGCGGTAACCCCAGTTCAGAGAGCCAATGTGATTCTGCACAGCTTCTGTCATTTTTTCCCAGTCATGTTTAACTGCACAAGAAAATAAGACAAACGTTTAGCTTTTCAACAGCCTGGCAAAGATCATTTCTCAGGAATTATTCAAATAGAATACAAAGAGCAGAGCTTTTAGTCTAAAAGGGCAAGTCCTCCATTTCAAGCATACAAACAACCTTTTCATCTTCATTCTTTCCCTTTTAGAAAACTGCCATACAATTAAATAATGCAAGGCTTCCTGGCAATTCTTAAGACTAAAATAACCATACACAAACTTTTTTCTTTATCTAGAAATGAATGGGAATTTTACTTTGGATTGTAAATATTGATGGCTGGGGTAATGGGGTGTGGTAAGGCCTAGGCTTCTGTATTTGTAACAATCTCCAAAGGAGTCTGATGCAGCCAGCCTCAGAGTTAATAAACTGGTAACAGTGTCTACACCAGGGGCTGCGGGCAAACTAAGGCCCCATGAGCCAAATCCAGACCATAACCTTTTTTGAAAATAAAGTTTTATTGAAATATAGCCATGATCATTTATTGACATATTATCTAGGGCTGCTTTTCTGCTACAATGGCAGAGTTGAGGAGTTGTGACAGAGACCATACGGCCCACAAGGCTTAAAATATTATCTGGCCCTTTACAGAAAAAGTTCGTGGAACCCCTTGGGTCTAGTCAAAGAATATTAAGAGTCTCTTTGCCCCTCAAACCCCCATCTCACCAAAGAGAGGAAGATTTTTAAATTTTATCATAAAATTAATCCTTTGAGTCAAGGCACTAATATAATATTAAATTTCAATGGATAAAAATCAATCCTTTGTCATTTATTAATTAATACTTTACGAATGACTAGGAAAAAAATAGGATATAGGTAAAATATACTCCGGTGGTAGGAAGAAAGTAGGTTCTGGGGAAGCTGTGGTTTGGAAGGAAGGAGAAGAGAATAGATTCAACATATATCGAAAGCCTCTGTTGGGGAAATGAGGAATTTGAGTCTTAGATTCAGGGTTAAGTAGCTTGGCCACACAGGAAGTGGTGAAACCAAGTCTATAAGAACCAATGGCCTGCCTCTAGAAGCAGGAATTTTGAAGCACAAAAATTGGTTTGTGGCCTCCTAGAGAAAAGATTATAGATATTCAACTCATAGAATAATAAAATGTTAGAACTGGAGCAAACCTTGAGAGATCAGTTCAATTACAAAAAAAAGTAATTTTTTTGGAGACCACTGGGGTTGTGATGCCAAGAGGACTAGGGCCTGGGGCGTGGAAGACACTGCAGGGAGCCTCGACCAGCCTATCTGTCTGGCCTCCACCTACCACCACTATAAAAAGAAGAGGCAGGACTCACTTGCTCCACCAGGAATGGAATAGAACAGTGTAACTCACCTCCATGTGCCAATCATCCAGCTGCAACAATTACCAATTTACCAATCTCATTTCATATACCTCTCTTTTTTTTACCAGAATATTTTAAGCAAATTCCAGATATTATTTTATTGGTGTTGGTTTTGGTTGTCAAGTGACTTAGAGATACTCAAGGGCCAATGACGCTAAATATGTCCCTTTCAACTAGGAGCTGCCCAGCCCAACATGCCAATAACACCCTCATGGAGAAACAATGAACTAGATCAAAGAGAGGATTCACTTCAGAAATTTTACAGTTGTAGAACTACTAAGTGGATCAGACTCTGCTAATCCCACAGGAGATACCATATTCTAAAAGAAAACATAGTCGGGATTAAATAATAGCACCAATAACTTTAATTATTTCCATGATGGAAATTCAAATTCAACGAGTAGACCTAATCCAACTTAATTCTGTTAAAGCCTTCCTTTGTGGCTGTCAGGCCCCACCTGATTTCCAAACTTCTCAACCCGTCTTTCTCTACCAAAGTCCCTTCATCCTCTGGTATAGCAAGCAGCCACCCCACTCCCAGTCTCTAATGTGACTATGCTCAGGCAGAAGGAATTTAAAAGTTCTGGCCCACCAATTTGAGATTCAGCATTCAAAGCACTCTAGCTGCTCCTAAGGTCCTGATCTTGCAATCCATTCTGAGAACTGAGTTTTTGTCTCGTAAAATCCAAATTCCTATTTTATATTCTACTGGTGATAACTGGACCCTTGTTGGACTGAGGGTGGTAACATGCCTGGAACCCCAGTTCTCTAGGGCTGCCCTGCCTTCTGATAATGCCCCAAATCCACCAGCTCCCTTTATTCCCAAACACCATCTGGATACTACATCCCCCTCAGTTCACCTGATAGCATAGCCCTAGCATTCCTTCTAGGCCTCCTGATCCCACTGGCTTGGTCACCCAGCTGTAATCCAATGCTAAGCCTCTGGAGTGTGGATTACAGTTGGCCAGGCAGAATTTGTATTTCACCTGGATGTACCCTTATGCCCACCACAGCAGCTGGATCTTCAGTCAACTCTCTTTTGCTCCTGATCTGTCCCATCCCACTACTGAAAGCCAAGCCACATCTTTAAATTCAACAATAGTAACTGGACTAATAAAACTACCTAGCGTCTTTAACATGTCCAGCGCACCTTCTCATTTGAACCTTAAAGCATCTGAAAGGGCAGGAATTACTCCCATTACATACACAGGGAAACAAAGGCTGGACTGACCTGCCCAAGGTCACACACTAACACAGTGGCAGTCACAGACACGTTGTATGTGAAACGTCAGGTGTGTGGTGGGAGAATACATCCAGAAATGCTGCAAGCCCCCAATTGTGAACCAATGATCTTGCTTTCTTTGAAATGACAATGGGATCCTAAAACTTCTCAAATAATTTTTTAAAGGCAGATTTAATTCTTGAGCATAGGAGAACTCAGATAAATCTGAAAAATATAAAGCCAATTAATCTTGCAGAAAGGACCAATTCATCCAGTTTAAATGACCAAGCTCAAGTAATTTTTTTTTAAGGGCTGAGACTTCCTTTGACCATTCTCAGTCTGGAGCTTTGGGAAGAGGGCAGAGCACAGGCTGAGTCCCGGAGGTGTCACTCCCCCAGTCACCAGAGAGATTCAGCTGCTCTCCAGGGCCCAGGGCCCTTTCCTCCTTCTCCACGCTCAGAACTATTTGCAGTATCAGAGAAGACAGTCTTCCCAGAACACTGGAGCACTGTTGTTTGGTCAAGGACATGAGATTAGATGTGTTTCTATTTGAAAAATGCAAAATAAGCCTTCTGTTGGGAATGTGGATCAGCAGCTTCTAGCGGTTTCTCATTTGAAAAATAGACCTCCAAGTTTCCTTCTTTCTCTAAGAGCTAACGACATAAAATAAGGTTTGTCTAAATCCACTGTATTCTTCACCATGATCATTTTAGCACAAAAAGGAGGGAGGTAATTACTGCTCCCTCAGTGGTGGATCCCGAGGCAAGGCAGGCCACTCCCAACAAGCCCAGCTCTGGTTCTAACAGCCAGGCCACAGCTTGCTTCAGAAGGCCCAAGGCTTAATGAGAAAAGCTAAAGACAACAATAAACAACCCACTAGGCTTCCATTTAGGAAGAGTGGAAGGATTTAAATAGAGAGCACAGCTCTTCATCAAAGACTTCAGGATTGCTGCTGCTGACAAATACAAGAGGTGGAAGGTATAAAAATAGAAAATTATGTATTTTTACCTTAAAATCTAGAAAAGGGGAAGAAACACAAAAGAGGTAAAACTCTTAAATTAGTTGGATAAACAACTTCTGTAAGGATAGATAAGTAAGACAACTTTGATCTGCTCCAAGTTTTAAAACCCCATGAAATTCAGAGAGTGTTTGCCGGTTTTAATGTAAAGATCCAGACTTTGCTAGCAGTGACTCTTTATTACCTCAGTTGTTGTACATTTATTAAATCTTTATTATACAACTTAGAAATAAAGTCAACATAAATAAGCATAGCCAGTGCTTATTATTGTTACAAGACAGCTACAGAGACAATCTTTTGCTGGAAAGAAGATTTGTCAATTCACCATGTTATATTTCACCACCCACCTGATGACTGCATTTATTAGAATTATACTTAGTTGACCCTAATAAAATTCACATTCGGCAGAGATCTGTACTTATCTCTTATCTTTTTAAGATTCTAAAGACCACTATATATATTTCCTACATTTCTAACCAAATCAAGCAATTCTGTTCCTAACTTCATTTTTCACAAGAGTTGATAGTTTAAAACTAAGATCAACTAGTACCACACACCAATCTGAGTACTGGACCCTATATGAATGAATAAAAATTTTATGACTCTGAGTCACAGCTCCCCAACACTGTTATTTACCTAAATTTAAGGGCCACTGGCACTCACTACGAAGAAGACAGTATATGGAAATTATAAAGTTGAATATATCAAAATTTGTTTGAAACAACCTTAATTTTCCCAACAAATTCTAGACTTTTTCAGATTAATATTCTTGTTACACGTCCTCTCTTTAAGAGGAAGGTAACTTGGCTCAAATATACAATGTTCTATAACATCCATAAATGTTGTCCTACAACCCATTAAACAAAGAACCAAGAAAGGTGAGCAGAGTCTACTCCAATTTATTGAAACTCTGAATGGAAAAATTAAAAGAAGCGAGTCCAGGGACCGGCCCCATGGCGTAGAAGTTAGGTGCGCGCGCTCCGCTGCTGGTGGCACAGGTTTGGATCCCGGGTGCGCACCGACGCACCGCCTGTCAAGCCACGCTGTGGCGGCATCCCATATAAAGTGGAGGAAGATGGGCACAGATGCTAGCCCAGGGCCAGTGTTCCTCAGCAAAAAAGAGGAGGACTGGCATGGATGTTAGCTCAGGGCTGATCTTCCTCACAAAAAAATAAAATAAAATAAAAGAAGCGAGTCCAGGAGGAAGGGACAAAAACTAACACTTGTTAAGTGGCAGGTATTTTAATCACACTATTGTATTTAATCCTCATCACACAGATAGCAAAGTCAGAATTTGTGCCCAGGTCTATCTACTATAATAACCGACACTTTAATGGGTCAGGAAGGCTGGGGTGAAGGAAGGATCTTAACTCTAGGTACTCTAGCATAAGAAGTCCCACTGAGAACAGTGTAAAAAACACATGTGGAATGATTGGGGGGTGGGGAGTGTAACACATCTTACAGGAGTGATTAGAAAATAAGGTGGGTGGTTCTTCGGTTTTCCTCCCAAGAGTACAGAAGAAAAACTAGAGTGTGGCCTAAAGACTATATACATAACTTGCCCTTTTTTGGCAGAGTGTGGTAAGGAAAGGTGCACACATAGCCATGTCGAAAGCCCTCCACGAGCCTGGCTCTAGAACGGCTCCTGAAGCTCTGGTCCTACAAAGGAGTTGCCACTGAAGCCATGATGGCTTAAAGAAGACCGCTTGTGGTGTAAATCCCATGTGGTTTGAAGTCACAAAGACCTCAGTCTAAATCCTCGTGCCACCAATTTCTTAGCTATGACAGGAGCAAACTACTTCCCCTCCTAGAGCTTGTTTCTTTGCTGCCAAATGGGAACAACAGGATCTCCCTCCAGGGAGGGATGGGAATGAAATGATCCAACTTTAACCACCAATCCTGACCCGCAGAACCTCAATGAAACCATAGAAGGCTGGTGGGAGGCTGAGATGGGTAAGGGGGAGAGATGGTAGCTTCTTCAGCTTTGGTCTTTACCTTCTCTCTCCATTTGCTTACCACTTCTATCCCAAGAACGATGACAGCAAGTATCTACAAGCATCTATTCCAACTTGCCCTCAGCCAAATTGTGCAGCTAGCTGAGCTGATCTGTTTTCCTCCCACTACCCCTCTCCCAAACCACCCAGGGTGTTCAGCCCACAGCAACACTCCTCACATCTACTCCTCATATATGTTCCCCACACACCTCAGGCTCTAGCCACACCAGGATATTTGCTATTCTTTAAATACAGTACCTTGTTCATTCTCTTCTCACTGCCTGAATGAAGCGACCTTCCCCTTCTCTGCTGATTGTCAAGGATATAACGTCTGAGAAATCATCTCCAGTCACCTCTTGAATCACATTTACCAATTCCACCTCTGGGGTCCCAGGGTACTTGGTTTGTACATCAATGATAACAGAATCTGTGTACCTACAGGATTTGTGTTATTTATCTCTATTTCCCCAGCACAGACTGAAGTGCCATCAGTGGGCACTCAATAGTAATGTTACATAACTTCCTCAGTAGGATTTCTGAAATATCTACTATGAAGTTTAATAAATTAACTGAAGGGAGACCCTGCTATTAACTAGGTGCATTAATAGTAGGCTTCCAAGAAGGGAAAGAGTACATTAATGGCAGACTTAGTTGGTAGGCATTCAGACACGGGAGTAAATAATAACTTGGAGGTGGGTAGAGGTGGGAATAGAGGTGGACTACTGGTAGATTACACGTTATATTCATGTTCCATAGGTCAAAGAGTCTGCTCAACTGCCCTTTTTATTGGGCAAGAGAAAAGGACATGGGGCACGACATCCCAGAATCAAACAATCAAGCTCGCAGTACTGGCCTCAGGCCTCCAAAGGTCACAGACAGAAAGCAGCCTTCTAAGGGTCTAAGCAAAGAGATGAGACCCCAGCATAAGAAAACTTTTAACGTAACTGATTTTCTAAGATTCTAGACTTGGGGAAAAAAAGTACTGTTGATTTTAAATGGGAAGTAAAAGCATCAACAAAGGAAGCATGACCAGTTTGAGCAAGAGCAAAAGTTTTCAAAGCATGTATTTATGCCTTTTTTTTCTTTGTGAGGAAGATCAGCCCTGAGCTAACATCCAATGCCAACCCCCCTCTTTTCGCTGAGGAAGATTTGCCCTGCGCCAACATCTGTGCCCGTCTTCCTCCACCTTATATGGGATGCCGCCACAGCATGGCCTGACAAGCGGTGTGTCGGTGCGTGCCCGGGATCTGAACCTGCGAACCCCAGGCCGCCGAAGCAGAGCACGCGTACCTAACCACTTGCGCCACCAGGCAGCCCCTATGGCTTCTTTAAAAATATTTAATAAACTATTAATTAGAAGTCAGAAAAGGCCACAAAATAATTTACCCTAGCTATGGCTGGAAGATTTCTCTCAAATGTCCCATAGCCTATAGATCTCAAAACTTAAATCGGAGAGGGGTTGGAGTTTCACTCTTCAAGGACATGACCTAGGTCATTCATTAGCCATGAAGCTGTGCCAGGCCTCATTTAATTCTTCCGCCTGATAATGCAATCTACTTTCTAAAGTCAACAGATTTCTCTTCAACTTATCTAGGGTTTCTAGGGTACGCTAAATATTTTTAGTCCAACAAAAACTAACCATACCCTTCTCAACAAACAAACAATTCTCCCACCCCTAAAATATCAGCTCATGAAATAGACTTCTTTGGAGAAAGAAAAATGCAACAGCGTCAAAGGAGAGCAAATATAATCTGTACTCCCTTATGAAACCATATAATTATGAGAATTTATTTGAAAGAATTCTAGTCTTCTATTATAGAAAGATATTCCAAGCACAATATCAGTTCTTACCATAACAGCTGTGTAGCTACCTGACACAGGATAACCCCAGTGATTTTATCTATAAAAAATGTAAACAATAACAACAACTTTCAGGTTATGTGGTAGTCTGGTGCATTGTAAGAGCACAGCTCAAATCCCTAGAAGCACGAAGGGAAGAGTGGTCCCTCCCCACCACCCCCCGCCATACCCGTCTCCTCGACGTTCCATCCGTAGTTTCGAGAGTCTCGTAGGGCTTGCCCTAACAAAGCCGCTTGGTGCATCAGTTTTTTAGGTATGCAACCCACATTCACGCATGTTCCTCCGAGACCTGCAAAAACATTGAGACGTGAGTTTATAGCCTGCTTCACAACCCTTCAAAGAAGAAGTTTGATTATTACTATTCTATGAAACATCATAATTTAGTTAATGTAGCCAATGTTGTTTATACAAGTTTATTCCTAAGTCTCACGACATTTCTAAGTAACGAGAGCCTTATATATCAAACAGTACTATCACCCTAAAACAAAACAAAAATGAGCATATTTCCATATACTTCAAAGATTCAAAATTAATTGACTACTGATAAAGATGCCAGAAATTGACATTTTACTTTGTGCACAACCCTAAACTTGTCACCCAATCTGTGACTACAACTGATAAGTGGTTGTGAAGCTGGGTGTGGGTGGACTGTAGCTGTAGTGGCTCTGTGACTACATATAAAATTTGAGATATATGAGCATTTTTTTAAGGAGGTGGTCTACAGCTTTCGTTGATTCTCACAAAGGAATTCAGGACCAAAACAAAAAAAAAGGTGTAGCATCCCTGAGCTTGAAGAACATGGTGATAGCTTGTCTGTTAGAACAAAATGTAGGCAGGTAGGGAAGCGGTCAAAACAACATGAGTGAGAGGGCACGGTGGCAGTGGACTCACAGCTCAGGCAACAGAAGCTCTCTGAGAATGCTACGGAGTGTAAGCTCCACAGGCCAGAGAGGCCATGCCCAGCACAAGGCCAGTACCTAACACAAACTGACACCTAATAAACATATGCTGAATGGATGAACTAGAAATTGTAACACGGTCTTATCCAGACTTCCTGCTTCTTGCCTCCTTTTAATTTGAGCAGCTGAGTCATCTTGATAAAACTTACATATCCCATTACTCCCCTCCTCAAAGGCTTCCTTACGCTTTAATTAGGTCCAAATGCCTCATCTTGGCCTACAAGGACCTGTACAGTCTGACACCTGCCTTTCTCTCCAATCTTACTTCCAGCTCCCACCACCCATGCCACAACCATGGAGGACTCTTACCTACCTTTGTATGTGCTATTCTGTGGGGAAGACAGAGAAAAGTTGCCTACAAATTTCTTGCTCAGCTTTTGGCACACTTGGCTTATTCTTATTCCTTTGGCCTTATCTAAATGCCACCTCTTCAGAAGCTTTCCTTGATAATCTTCTCAAAGTTAAACTCCTTCCTTCATCCAGTTCCTCTCTATTCCACCACATAATTTTTTCAGTGCCACTTATCATAATTCATAAAGTTCTTGCTTATCTTTTGCCTCCCCACTAGAATATAAACTCCACAAGAGCAAGAAGTTCATGTCTACCATGTTCACTGCTATATCCCCACGGCCCTGGTTCATAATAAGTGCTCAATAAACACTGTTGAATAAATGAATAATGAACATATAATTCACCAAGACTGAGAAGAAGCAAGGGCTATCTATTAACATTCCTTATAGGAATCCTTATAGGATTCCGATAGGAATCCTATCTGATTCCAGTTATTGCTGAATGTAGGAGATGGATTTAAAACAGAAATCCACAGATCAAGAGTTTAATCGTTCAGTTATTAAGCCCCTAGGTCTATTAGGTTACTCAAATATTTAGCTTTAAATCATCGTAACAGCTGTGGATAAGGTTTTGTATTATCTTGACTCTGCGGAAAAACCTAAATTTTCAACATTTAACTGGAGTCCATTTTAATCTAGCACAAGTGAAAGAGGTACATGTTTTTGTTTTGCTTTTAATTTTAATTTTTATTTATTTATTTTTTTTTTGTGAAGAGGATCGGCCCTGAGCTAACATCTGCCAATCCTCCTCTTTTTGCTGAGGAAGACCGGCCCTGGGCTAACATCCATGCCCATCTTCCTCCACTTTATATGGGACGCCGCCGCAGCATGGCTTGCCAAGTGGTGCGTCGGTGCAGCACCCGGGATCCGAACCCGCGAACCCCGGGCCGCTGCAGCGGAGTGCACTCACCCAACCGCTTGCGCCACTGGGCCGGCCCCTGCTTTTAATTTTTAAATTAGGTTTTATGAGCCATTTAATGCCAGAGAAAAACCTGCTCCTACAAATCCACTTCTAAAGTATTTTAAAAACTTACCCCATCTAGTTCCAAGAGGGGTTGGAGTGACAAAATCCAGGACCATCACCTTCTTGTTATATTTGGCTGCCTCCTGGAAAATAAAATTATTAAAATGAGTTGGAAAGGTTAACATGATAAACTGGAAATGGGTTATTAAAAACCCCTGCTGTTTTTATTAAGCTATAATGCCTAAAGCATAATCAGTTATTAAGATCTGGGAATTTCATATACCAAGATGATTAGTGCAACTCCAAGATAAAAATTAAGCGATACTCAGATATTCATAGGGTAGTTTTAAAGAATAGGCAGATTACAGCTGTAAAATTGTCAAGAGTCAGCTGGAAACCTTAGAAATCCTCTTACATAATTCCACTCAAACAGTAACAAATTAAGCAATAATCTGAGAAACATGTGGCCACTTCTAAGCAAGTGGTAAGCAGCCAGTAAAACAGATTTACTGATAGTCTACAACGCTTCATTCAACCTGTATCCCTTAAGATAATAAAAGATTATCTAATTTAGTTTCTAGGCAGAATACTGGAAACATTTTTCTTCTGAAGTTGTCAGATTCCTAAAATTTTCATGTGAGGAGCCCATGAAAAAGTTGATGTTATCTATAACGTTTCAAAAATCCATTTTAAGGGAGTGATGACTACAGTCAAAAGTTCATTTTGGGGGCCGGCCCGGTGGCACAAGCGGTTAAGTGCGCGCGCTCTGCTGTGGTGGCCC